ATGTTTCAAGGGACAATGAGGATCGTATTCAGAAGTTCTGCTGTATATAACAAAAGTGTTAAGGGTGCTCCATGCCCTCAGCATTTAACAAACTCTGAAGTCACACGTCATGGTGGTGACGTCTAGAGTCCTGAAGTGGCTTGTTTTTAAGTAATTGACAATATTGAACTGTACTTCAATGAGCGTGAAGATTCCATAAGCCCATTCGTTTCTTAATAACAGAAATTAAAGGCTGCCACTGTATTATAAGTTACTTGAGATACAAGAAATGACGCCTGTCGTTTAGAAGACCTTTCACGTGTCGATTTACCCTTTATAAACTACTTATTGTAGCTATATATATACATGTACGTAAGGTCAGTTCGAGTTCAAAGGCGAAGAGAAATAAAATGAGGTTCGAGGAAACTAAAATAAACAGCTGGCCGGGACCAAAAAACCTTTCTGTTTACTGTCTTTACTAACCAAGTATCTTCATCTTCTTCTACCATTGCGTTTAAATCCAATAAAGGGACATCATCCAAATTTAACTTGACTTTCACCATGTTGTCTTCACCTTTGTTCGGTGTTCGCCGGTTATCAGTATTTTTCAGTTGCGCATTCTGTTCCTCCAGCCGCTTGACCATCTCCTGCAGTCGCTTGATATCTGAGCCAGCAGATTTTCGCAACTCCGCGCTCATGTTACATTGGTGACGTGAAGCCTTCTATTCGGTATTCCAAAGATGTCCTGTCGTGAATAAATTGGTTACTGCAGCCCAGATAGCAGAACTCTGATGTGATTTGATCGAAGTTTCGAATCCGACGAAGCCCACGAACATTCGGCACAGCTGAGGGTTACAATATTACTCGGAGATACTTCATGTAAGCAGGATCTATTTTTCGCGTTTCGTTTCCGGGCGATCACACTACAGTTTTGGAAATACCTTTTACTTTTCCAATTCCTAAAAATTCAGTTTTAAAAGTCGTAGGTTCCCTTGTTAGTTTCTTTGAATTCGAAGCCTTTACCAATTGCAGCACCAAGAATCGTGGAGGCAGCGTGGCCGAGTGGTTCAGTACAATTTTTAACCGTGTATAAAGAAATGTTAAATAAATAAATAAAATAAATAAGTTCAAGGCCTCCACCCTGCCACTTGCTGGATTTGTTTCTTGGTAGTCCCGAGTTCAAATCCTTGGTCATGCTTTGTAAATAGCCAACTGGTCTGCCTCATGCCAGTTGGGATCTTTTACTATGTTACGTTTATTTGAATTAGTTGTTTCCTTTGTTTCAGTGGCATGCCTGTAAACTAGCTAAGCTTAGTGCTTGTATAGCTAAGTGCATGACCACTCTAAATAAGATAGGTGCGTGAAACTGCCCCATATTCTTGTCACGGCGTGTTCACAGACCGATCTATTTTTAGTTTGAATTTACCACGAATTCAGACCACCGCGGGAACCTCAGTGACCAATCACAAGCACTGACTTAATTTTTAACTGACGTCATCATTTCACCGGAAGATTAAGCCGACATGTCCACCTGAGGCCGCCATTTTTTCCTTACCTATGCGCGCTCATGTAGACCGGAATTGACCTATTTCGCCAACCTCGTTCCCACGGCTTTGCCCTTAAAGATTTGGGAGGGGAGGGGAACGAGGAACGAGGCTGTTATTCCGCGGGAAAAGAAGCCTAAAAATAGACCCATCGATCCGTAAAAAATGCCATGACATAGGCTTAGTGTGGGAGTTGCACATTCCTAGTGATGGGCTCCCGACCTGCGCGTACTTACTTATGCGGCAGTTTGCCGGGGACACCCCGCCAGAATGGAGATCTCATGAATACCGAGTGCCGATCTGAAAAAATCGGCTAAGCATTCCGTTCATTCCTATAAAGGAGACAACATGTCTCCAGAGCACTCAACAATGAGTCACTTATCTCTTTTCCCCGCTACTCCTCCATTTTTGGACGGTTTCTTGGGCATAATTTTGTCTCCATTCAAGAAAAAATTTGCATTCATAATGATATCCCTGTTCTAGAAATAAGTCAATACGCCGTTCTTTGAATCAAGTAAATTTCAAATTCCGCTACAGGAAAATTATTTCTTTTTTCATTATGTTCAAAGATAGTTTCATGGTTCGGCGAATGTGCAAGCTATACATTATCATAAAGTGGTTTTCAGCCTTCTCACTTAAACACAATTGCACTCTAATTTGTGCAAACCGAATGACTGATAACCAGATTTCAAGGAATATTTTAATTTATTTACACTGACAAATTTAGTACTGTACGGAACATGGAATTTGTCATTTGGCCCGAATGATTTATATGCGAGTTTTCTGCCCACATCTGATTGGTTTATCACAAAGTTTTCATTTGTGAAATTTCCCCGCAAAACTCATCAGTTTGCTTTCGATTGAATTTTGGAATATAGCCGCTGAATAGCCGCTATTGGAGCTGAGCGTGCATTATTTTTTATAGATGCACGGCTTGAAATTATGGAGCACTGACGAATGTCTCGGGTGTTGTGATACCAGCCCAATAGCGACCCTTCTGAGATGTAAAGATTTTCGCGTTTTCATGCTTTATATTTACTCTAAACTAACTAAACCAAAA